TTTGTGAGATATAAAATATCCCAAAATTGCAACTAATATTTAACGAATGTAGTATAATGTTTGTTTGAGAAATAGGAGTAAAAGGTTGGTTCGTTCTTAAATTACGCAAAGATTACATGTTGAATAGGTCACGCAAATGTGGAATTATTGTTTAAAACTTTTCATTAATATAGTTTACCTCATAATAAAATACTCCCTCCATCCCCTTTTGTTTGTAACTTTTGAAGGAAAATCACGGGAATCAAGGTGGAAAATGTGAAGTAATGAAAGTATATATGGAAAATGAAATTCTCAACCAATAAAGTAATAAAAGTGCTTAAGAAAGAGACATTTTCAATTTAAAAAGTAATTAAAGTACATGAAAAAGACAAATTGAGATTCAAGAGTGTAAAACATTAAATTAGTCAAAATGGCAATTGTTAGGGTAAAATAGAAAGAGGACTTAATAAGGACAAAAAAAATAAGAGTATAAAAGTCTTTTTATGTATCTTAATAATTATGAAAATATGAAATATGACAAACATTTAGTCGCACTCAAAATGGCAAAAGCGGCAAACAAAAGGGGACGAAGGGAGTAAAACTTTGTACTTGGTATTAATTTTTTTAAAGTAGGATTAGATGTGGCTACAATTTTATGTGATACTTCCAATACATTTGGGAAGAGCCTTATCCCATATAATTTCTCCATTTTTTGAAAGTTAGACTTGCTTTACATTTTGATCTATTTAAAAAATTTATTTAACGAAACTTTGGCACAATGTATGTAGGGAGAAACATTTAAAAAAATCGGGTCTACAATAAAATATTGTACATCTGTTTCAAAGTTACCTTAAAATGCTCAAAATTTACCCTATAATGAATGAAAGTTACCCAACTATAATAAAAATTATTTAAGTTGTAAGGATAAAAGTTACCCTAAATTCAACAAAAAAATCTTGATGTACAGAAAAAATACTGTATATCAAATGTATACCAAAGTTTTTATTATCTAATAAATTTATTTAATAGGCTATAAGCCTATAATAATATTTCAATTACTCTTTTCTTGGTAGCTAAGTTCTTGATTTGAGAGTTGACATGTGGGCAATGCTCTACAAATTGAATTGTGCATTAATGACTAAGTGCTTGTTCTCTTCAGCTTATTTTCAGTTCAGTAAAGTTATTAATTTCCTTCTCTCATAAAATATTCAGTTCAGTTCAATTCAGCTCCAATAAGTTCAGTTCAGCTTAGCTCAGTTCAGTCTATCAGAACATGCCTTAAACCACTAATGGTCTACTCACTTCACCTTTTAAAAAAATAGTAAAAATAATTTCAATTTAGTAAAATTAATTTAGTTTAGCAAAAATAATTTCAATACAATAAAAATTATTCCAATTTAGTAAAAATTATTAGTCTTAAAGAAGATATATAATAGATAATCAATTAAAAAAATCAATTCGGTAAAAATATTTTCATTTTAGTAAAAATAATTTCAAATTTAATAAACTTCCTCCGTTCTAGTAAAATTGCTTGTTTTTCCCCCGACAGGTTGGGACAAAAAGTGGGATTGTTTTGGAATAATGGAAAAGTGAGATTGTTAGGGGAAGATAGAGCAAAGATGGGATTATTACTTTTCATTTTTACATTTTATATGATTAAACTTGAAATTTTGTTAAATATATTATTATTTTGACCAAAAAAAAGAACAAGGAGTGCGTTATACAGAGCATACCACCTTAATTTCATAATGTTCATAATATATTATATATGTACAGATAAAGTATGGTGTTAAAATATTGGGGGAAATAGTTCTCTGTATTTTTCCATTGTATTTTCCCATCTTTCATATTCGATCATCACATTACAATATATATAGACAATAGCTAGGAATATCTAACCCTAATATTCCTAATTATCTTAACTTCCTAAATCTATCATAATATATGACATATATCTTTTCACAATAATATCTCATATGATATTATTCTCATAATATCATATCACAATATATTCCTATCTCAATACCCTCCCTCAAGTCGGAGGTGTATATTTCGATACGTTCGACTTGGACAATAAAATAAAATTTGCATCATATCATCAAGCCGCAATATGTAATCATCCGCCTTCGAATAATCACAAAAACAATCCTCTTGAACTTGAACATGATCATACCACGTTTTTCGATCATCTTCATTAAAATCATCAAATTTCACTGATAAAGATGGTTACAAAAAATCAATTCCTCATAAAAAAAATAAAAAATTTAATTGTGAACTCTCACAATTAATTCTCACACTATTATTATACATTAATTATAAAAATAACGTATACTTATAAAAAAAAATTATGAACTCTCACAATCTCACTATATTGGACGCAATAATGAATAATGCGTGCAATTAATCACTCATCTTACACGAATTCTCACGTTTAAGATTATTTTATTCTCTCACTTGATGAGAACGCCATTCTTTTCGAACCCATCAATCAATACAACAAGAACGTATTTCTTTTCGAACCCGTCATATTTTTTTCTTCTCCTCTCACACAATCTCCCGTGTTTAAGGTTTTTCCTCTTTTTCACACGAATTCTCGTGATTAAGGGTTTTTTCATTCTCTCCTCTTACACGAACTCTCGTGTTTAAGGTTCTCTCATTCTCCCACATGAACTCTCGTGTTTTCATCCCAGGATCTCCCTAGGCTCTTGATACCATGTTAAAATATTGGGGGAAAAAGTTCTCTGTATTTTTTCAATGTATTTTCCCATCTTTCATATTCGATCACATTACAATATATATAGACAATAGCTAGGAATATCTAACCCTAATATTCCTAATTATCTTAACTTCCTAAATCTATTATAATATATGACATATATCTTTTCACAATAATATCTCATATGATATTATTCTCATAATATCATATCACAATATATTCCTATCTCAATATATGGTTTTATCGGTTTAAATGATCTTAGCATATGCACTCTCTCTCACATTATCTTTCATCTTATATACTCCTATCAATATTTGCACTTCTTCGCCTTACACCCACACCCCTTTTCACAACTCCTCTCCCCTTTGTATTAATTCTTGTGCAAACAATAGATGTTATGAAAATTTGTAAATTACCACCCAAAAAGGGGAACTGTTTTGAAATTACCACCCGTTAAAAATTTTATTTTAAATTACCACCCTTTAAATTAAAGAAATATTCATATTACCACCTTTTTAAAAAAATTCGTTGGAATTTCCGTTTGAGGGCCCCACTCAACGGCTAGTAACGGCTACTTTGACTCTTTTTACTGTCTCCCTCCCCGATTTTTTTGTGTTTATAAAGTTTCAAACTTCAATTCACAATTTGTTCCCCAATTTCAACTAAATTTTCTCAAATTTTTCCTGTTAGTGTTTGAAGAATTTATCCTCACAAGTGCACACACTCAATTCACAACCAAGGTATGAATCCACTTGTTCTTAATTTAGTGGTTTTTGCCAAAAATTCTTGGGGTAAATGGTTATATTTAGGAATTAGGATTCTTGGGGCAATTGAATTGGGCGTTTTTATAATTAGGGTTCTTGGGGCAATTGAATTGGGCGTTTTTTACAATTAGGGTTATTGGGGTAATCGAATTGAGTGTTTTTTACAATTAGGGTTCTGGGGGCAATTGAATCAGGCGTTTCTCTTAAATTTGAGTTGATTCGAGTTGATGGTGTCCAATTTTGTTGATTAATTGTTTATTATGTGTTGTTTTTTCATGTTCGAGGTCAAACATGTTGGTAGTGTTGTTCTTGCCAATGAATGTTTTGAATGGTTGATAGTTGGATCAAGTTGTAAGCTAGTTCCTTTTTTATTTTTGGATTATGTCTTGCAAAAATGGAGGAGAATAAATTGGTTAGGTCGAGGGGAAGGAAGAAAGAGGGAAAAGACTGATTATTGGAGTTCTTTTCTGAGTTTAATACGTCAGTGAGAGGGGGTTAGGTCGAGGGAAGAAAGAAAAAAATAGAAGGGAAGTTAATTAGGTGGGGGCCTCAAACGGAAATTCCATCGGATTTTCTAAAAAGGTGATAATCTGAATATTTTTTAAATTTAAGGGGTGGTAATTTAAAATAAATTTTTTAGCGGGTTGTAATTTCAAAACAGGTCCCCTTTTTGGGTGGTAATTTACAATTTTTCCCAGATGTTATGAACATCATAAAACAAATTAAGATATCATTTTTTTTATTCAAAAAAATAATAGTTTATACGAAATGTTTTATGTTCTTGAAAATATTATTGTTTCATTATTCCGAATTTCATCACGCTGTTAGGCCTCCTTTACTTCACTTTATTTTTGCTGAACTGAAATTATTTTTAAACAAAATTTTATTTGCCGAACTTAAATTATTTTTACTGAATTAAAATTATTTTTGCTGAACTAAAATTATTTTTTTACTGATTTTCTATTATAATTCTTCTTTAAGATAACTGAATTTTACTGAATTGAACTTATTTTTACTAAATTGAAATTATTCATACTGAACTGAAATTTATTTTACTGAACTGAACTTATTTTTACTGTACTAAATTTATTTTTACTTAATATTAATTTTTTTAAGGTGAAGTGAAACAGGGCCTTACAAGTCAAATTTAGATTTCCTTGTGAAACCAATAAGTTATAATATTGATCTTAAGTCCTTGATAGGACCCTTTTTTTTTTGTTCTTCGCTCATCCTTTCTTCATTGGGAAGGTTAATTTTATCTTGACATAAGAATATTTTCCTTACATTGTAATAACATTATAAAAAAACCAAAAACAGAGCCTCCTCAAACTACCCCTGCCGCCGGCGGCCAGAGCACCAGTGCTCAACCAAGGTCGTCGGCGAGCATTTCTTGACGACCTCAGCGACTATTTAGGTGTGGTTCCTCCTAGCTAACCCAAACATGCATTCTAATTTTTTTGAAGAAAATTTAGGGTTAGGGTTTCGGATTTCGATTTTGGGGGAACTTTTTCGATCTTCTACCTTTCCAGATCGAAGGACCAATGATTGGCTGTAATACCACTGTTGTTCGGGGTGGTGTAGGTGCAGCTAAAGGCGCATGTAATGGGGTTCTGCGGCTCTGCCAAGGTGTTCTTTATAATGGTCTCTCTGATATATCTTGTTTGGTTATGGAGAAGCTTGTTTTCTCTGTGTTTATCAGTTTGAACTTTAGTTTCTAGTTGTTTGGTATTTAAAGCTTGTTTTAGTTTTAAGTTTTTATGGATAAGTTTGAAGAACTTAGGGGGATTTTTTGTATTGCTCATGTTGAAGAAGATGATATATCTTCACATAAACTAGAGCTTTTAGTTGGAAAGTTGGAGAATCCTTATGGTATTCTGGATTTTGTTAGGGGTTTAAAAGATGAAGGTAATGCCTTCTATAAACAGTGCAATATGGGATTAGCGCTTACTAAATACTCTCTTGCACTCAAGCTATTATCTTTTGTCACGGTGGGTAATGATGAAGATAAATCATTTTTTTTTAGCCTAGCTGTGTCTCTTAATCTGAACTTGGGTGCTTGTTATGTCAAAGAGGAAAACTTTGACAAGGTGGGTCAGTTGTATTCTGCAGTTTTGTGTTATGATACTTCTAATGTGAAAGCTTATTTTAGAAGGGCGATGGCAGCTTTAGGGCTCAATAAACCCGAATTAGCTTTCATGGATCTTGCACAAGCAATTAGGATTGATCCCACCAACAGAGAGTTTCAACAAAAACTCAATGAGGTGATATCTTTATTGGGTTGGTCTTCGGATTTTGTTAATGAGGCACTTGCAGTTACAAGAGAGGATAAAATGTTTAGAGATTATGCTAAAATTGGGAAAGAAGAAGAAAAGAGGAAGTTAGGGAAAAAAGGGGAAAAGAAAGGAAAGAGATGGTAGTGGAGATGGTTGTGTTCGTAGGTGTATTGGTGTAAAAGATGTCACCAAAAAGAAAAAGGATGTTGGTGGAAAATCTTAGAATTCGGAGGAGGGTAAAGTTAACCCTATCGATCAAGATCGAAGGCCCTACATTATTGATAACAATTCTGATCTGAAGTCAACTTCAGAAACAAAAAACTCAAATCTTACAGGGTCAAGTTATCGGTTTTGTAACCGAAAACGTATTGATTCCTATTTGCATCTCACTCCAACAATGTATGGAGCGATTTCTAAAGGACGGACACTACACTACTATTGCTCTTCTAAGAAGGATTTTATTAGCATCCGAGTACTCGACCTCCAAAGAAGATGGATTGTGTTGAAACTCAAGAAGTTTATACACCAATAGAGATTAGTCACTCCCCCCTGTGAAAGGGCATGATAGGTGTCAAGCAACCCCAAATTTGGCACAAGATGATTCGACCATAGGTATGGTTGATCAAGTATCATCGTGTGAAAGTACGTCAGTTTCCCTTCCAGTTGCTCCAGTCTACTCCCCGTTGAAGTCTGTTGCAAGCCTCAACAACCCCTCTTCTCAGAATTTGAAGTTATTGGTTTCTATTTGTCGTTCCAGAGCTAGAAGGAAAAGTCAATCTCTAAGAAGTTTAACTTCTTCTATCTTTACTAACCCTTTGTTTTTCAGGAAGAGTGGCTCAAAAAGGAAAGCGTCTTATCCCATCGAACTCCTATGGCTTCCGAATAGAAAGTTGTTATATGGTTCTACCCCTAATGTTCTAGTGTGTACTTTAGTTTATGATTAATTTAGGGTTTTGCTGTTGTAAAAAAAAATAAAATAAAAAATAAAATAAAATAACATTATAAATATGTAAGTATGTAACCTTTTATATTTTTCTATACTATTTTACCCTTTATATGCCCCACTTAAAGATCCCATTATAATAACTTCACTCGGCCATCTATTATAATCGTTTATATAAACCCTAAATGACCCCATCCATTGTATTTCAATCTCAGTCACCTAATCTAACTCCATTCATTCATTTTTCTCTATCACTTGCTACATTGAAGAACACACTAAGGGAATATTCTGATTTACTGATTTTTTCTGAACTGAAATGATTAAAGCTGAACTGAATTGAATTGTTTATGAGAGAACGAAGGAAATTAGGAACTGAGCTGAGCTGAACTGAACTGATTGGAGCTGAACTGAACTGAATGAAATTAAGGTGAAGAGAACATGCCCTGATAGATGTTGGTTTGAGAAGGTTAACAGTTGAGTCTATCAACATGATTTTAACATTAGAAATAGGGAATGATATAGATGATGCCACTCCCTTTATGTCTAAAAGATGTTCTTGTTTGCAATCTTGCTACAACCTTTTTTGTTTTTAAAAGTAATATTGTTTTTTTCCTATTATTCACATAATATTTTTTACTTAATACACAAAGGCCTTGTTTGACAATTTGTTGTTGGTTGTCGGATGGTTTGATTGACTGGTTTGACTGGCTGTTTGTATTGACTTTTTTGTTGGTTGTTTGAATTTTTATTAGTCTAAAAACATGTTTGGTAAAATTAGCTATTGGATGTTATTAGTAACTTAAGTAGCCAAAAGATACTCCAAGTAGCTTTTTTATTTTGGCTGAAATGCCAGATTTTCAGCTGGCTGAAAAAGCCATTTACCAAACAAGCCCAAAATAAAAAATTATATGTTATTGTATAACATGTTGAATTAGTCAAAATACATACTTTTTATTTCATAATTAATATTAACTTTTTCTATAATATATTAATATAATGTTGGATTAGTCACAACAAAATAGTTACAAATAATCTTACAATCCTAAAAAAGTTCATAAATCATAAAACCTTTGAATAACCTTTTTCTTAGCGGCTAAGCTCATCATTTGCAATTTTGCATGTGGTTTTAGGTTTTGACATTTCAATCAAGAATCAACATGCCTTTTGATTAATTATTAGTCAAAAGGATCATGCAAGCTCTGAAGCTCATATTAAGTTTGCATTATACTGTAGTATTAAAGTATCAATTGAAAAAGTATAAAGTTTGACGAATGTTAACTAATCATCATTACAGAAAAAAATAATGGTTTATTTAACAATGAGAAAGAAAAGTTATAAGCTAGCTAACATTATAGAATAATTATACTATCAACTAAGGGATCGGGAAGAATCAAAGAATACGTTCAATGACACGAGCTTTTTGGCTCAAATACACCATTGCTTTTAACAAATACCTCTAAAGTTCGAAAAACTATTGGAAAGTGTAAGGTCGCAGTGGGATATTTCTACAGCGGTCGTTTGAAATATGACTATATATCTTATTATTTTAATGATAAACAATATGAGCAAGTCATTTTTTCACACTATAAATTAGACACAATTAGTATATAATTTCTACAATGCAAATATAATTTTAAAAAATTTTAATTTACCATAACATAAATATTTTCCAAGAAACTATATATTAACTGTAAAAATTACATAAATAAAACTAAAAATTTGATAAATTAAAAAAATGTTGATAATAATATTTTATAGCAAAAATAGAGTAATATAATTAATTACTTGGATAAAAATAAGTTAAGTATGAACTATATAATCATTAAAATACTATAATAGTCATATTTCAAACGACCAGTATAGAATTTTCAGGCCGCAGTGTGTCACTAGGAGCAAGTTAAAGATGATATTGTATGTTTTCCCTCTGTGTTTAAATAAATGAAATGTTTTGACTTTTTACATTATTCATTTAATCCACTTTGATTATCCCTCACTCTCATGTTTGTGATATATATACATACGAAGAAATATAGTCATATGGGTACTTGTTGGAATCGTCTAAATAAATAGTTTATTAATATTTAATTATTATAATATTTAATTATTAATAAAAATATATTTTCAGTCAAAGTTTTGCATTGACATACGCGTACAACAAAAACGTTTCATTTATTATAAAGGAAAAATTGCTCCCATTAATCTGAACTTTGCCTCGTCCGCCGAAAATAATCCCAACTTTCGTTTATTATCTATTGCACCGAACTTTGGGGGGGTATTAATTTTCGTTGCACCCAACAGGTCATCTAACCTGATGTAGCAAGTTACCTAGATACGTGTCAGCGTATGATTGGCTTAATTTTTTTTATAAATAAAAAAAAAACAAAAAACAAAAAAATAAAAAAAAAACCCACAAACCACCCAAGCCCAGCGGCTGCCACCACACCCCCACCCCCACCACGCCGGAAAATCACCCCCACCCTCGAAAAACCCCTCCCCTGCTGCCGGAAACTGCCGCCCAGCCTTCCCCCTACCTCGAAACCCACCCTTTCCCTTCCCCCACCCCCGAAAACCATTCCCCCACCCCCAAAAACCCCTCCCTCACTCCCGAAAACCGCCGCACAACCCTCCCCCTTCCCTCAAAACTCCCCCTTTCCCTTTCCCCACCCCCGAAAACCCCTCCCCCACCCCTATTTCCTCCGTCACTCCCCTCTCCCCGCCGTTTTCCGACCCGAATCCCCTTCCCCTTCCCCTTCGTTTTCGCTGTTTCCCCCTCCCCGTCGTTTCCGCCCCCTTCCCCTTCGTTTCCGAACCAAAATCCGGCCTCCCTTCCTATATCCTCCCCCACTGCCATTAACGGTGGCTGCCGTTAAGGGTGGCTGGGTTTTTTTTTTTTTTTTTAAATTTTGTTTTTTAAAAAAAAAATTTATTTGACCATTCATGTAGTGACACGTGTCCAAAAAAATGTAACACACAAATGTTGACCGGATTAACCGGTTGCAGGTAAATTGGGTGCAACGAAAAAATATTGACCGGATTAACCGGTTGCAGGTAAATTGGGTGCAACGGAAATTAATACCCCTCAAAGTTCGGTGCAATAGATAATAAACGAAAGTTGGGATTATTTTCGGCGGATGAGGCAAAGTTCAGATTAACGGGAGCAATTTTTCCTATTATAAACACATAGGAGTAGGTATATAAATAAGATCATACACGATCATGCAAAGTGGTATGAAACTTGCATTATACAAAGTATTAAAGAACCAACTTTTAAATATATGAATATAAATTTTTAGAAAAATAGGAGACCAACTTTGATTTAGAAAAATTGGCTCCAAGCTTGAAGTGATTAAAGTTTTCTCCCTATTTAAAGAAGTATCAGGTGGCTTCTTTTTCCAAACTAAAAAAGCAGAGAAAAAAGCATTAGAACTCAAAAAGAAAAGGAAATGAAAGAAAGCAAAAAGGAAGAGGTCCTTTTTTTTTTCTTCTTCTTTTTTTTTCTTCTCTTTTCTTCTCTTTCGGTCATATTTGTCCTCTTCCTGCTTTATTTTTTCCTTTGGTTTATTTTATGATTAATTGTGGAGATAAAATAAACATAATTTTTTTTGTTACTATTTACTCCCTTCGTCCCCTATTAATAGTCACTTATGCTATTTTTCGGCACCTAAAAAGTTAGTTACATTTGCTTTTTTCAAGTACTATTAATAATATTTTCTTACCAAAATTTTCTAACATTTGCAAAAATATTTGTGCAAATTTAACTTTCCAATATAAATTTTACTTTCCCATGTACTTTAATTACTTTCTCTCTCTACTTTTTTACATACCCAATGTAAATTTACTTTTTCTATGTAATTTCTTTAATTCTCCTTAATTCCAGTTATTTTTCTTTAAAAATGACTATCAACCGGGGACGCAGGGAGTATATACTTTAATTAGTTTTTTTTTTTTTTTCTAACATATTCGTTTCCTGTAAAATTGTGTTAAATATTTATAAAGTTTCATAATACAATTTTTTCGTATACAACTTTACTACTCCATGTGTTCACTTTAAATTGTTATGTTATGAATTTTACGGTCTCCAATGCAAATCTTTAATCACAAATATTCAATAAAATGTGTAAAAATTCTAAGCAAAAAATTATATATTTTGAAAATATATTTCAAGTCAAATCTAACAATATCTCATAATGTGATATGATATTGGATATAACAATGAATTTTTATACTTTGTAGTTGACTAGTCGTAAAATTTTAATAACGCGTCTTGAGTGCGGCTGACTACACCATGAGACCATTGGTAAAATAACAAATTAATTTCTATAATATTGATCGAATTGATTAACCCATATAATATTGATTGAGTGACCCCTACGCTATAACACTGACAAAGTAAATCATGTAACACTAACGAAAATCCCCTAGAATAGTCGGCCACACTGTGTAGCCAAACATATATAAATAAAAGTCAAAATGTAAAGAATACTTTCTCCGTGTTTAATTAAATGAAACGCTTGACTATTACGAAATTTTAGAAAGGTTAGTTGAATTTATTAAAATACACTATAAGAGCTTTCCCAATGGTGATAAAATTCATTACATGAAGAAATATTTTGGGGAAAATTTTATCCCAATGGTAATATACACACATCTTTATATACATGAGGGAGTAATGGTTGTGGTGGGGTGGTGGTGTGCCTAGTTCCAATTTGGCTACCTTTTTACCATTTACCCTTTCAACCCCATAATAAGTATGGAGTGCATTATTTCACATTGTCTTTTACTATCACCTTTTATCTTACCAATTAAAGTTTGGTTTAGTGGTAAGACTTGTATCTCCTGACCTTAAAAATGTGGAATCAAAATCTATTAGAGACACTTTGGGGTAGAGATTCCCTTACCCTTCATCCCACTCTCAAGTGCCTAACCCGCTTATCCGAGTCGAG